AGCGCTGTGAATTGTGTAAGACTGATGAATCACAGACCTGTACCCCTGAAACAAATAATACATTATATGTTAATTTAAAAAATTTAAAAATTTAAAATAAATAAAACTTTTCTATATTCCAAAAGTAACATTAATATGATTTTTTTCTATTTATTTATTTGTTTGTTTATTCATTTATTTATTTATTGAGGGGGAGAGCAGAGGGAGAGAATCTCAAGCAGACTCTGCGCTGGACGCAAGGCTCCATCTCATGACCCTGAGATCATGAGCTGAGCTGAAACAGAGAATTGGACGCTTAACTGACTGAGCCACCCAGGCGCCCCAGTAAGAGTTTTTTTTTCCTGTGCATAACTTTCGAAAGTGATCCCAAGGCCCTCCTCCTACGTAAACGTGTGCTTCCCCTGCCTCTCCTGGAGTTAATTGCTGACCCTGGGGTTTGCTCACATCAGAATGGCAAGTACACATCAGAAAGCTGTGCAGACAAGTGTCTAGACTGTGAATACGCCTCCCAAAACTACAGAGCGTATTTAAATGTGCTACTTAAAAATACTACCTTTCTCCACTTACAGGTACAAAGTTGAACAATTTAAAGCCTAATTGTGAATTTCTGAATGTTGTCTAGAGCTTAATGCACTAAAAGGAAGCTTGTAAATGAACTAGTAGGGTGATGCCCTCTCATGACAATCATGGGATAATGCAAGACAAAAAACCATATGCTTTGGAGCTGGACATAGCTAGGTTCAAATCCTGCCTCCTTTAGTTACCAGCTTGAGTGGTCTTGGGTAAGTTACTAACTACTCAGCCTCAGTTTCCCCATTGGTAAATGAAGCACAATATTAGTAATCTCGAGGGGTTCTTCTGAGGATTACAGAAATTGGATGTAAGCCAGAGGAGCTCCTAGTATGCTCAAGAAACATAGCTATTATTATAATTTTTAGGGGTTCATCTATACAACCAGCCAAGAGGTTGGATTTGGCCGATTCTAGGGACATGGCCCTCAGATGGCCACTAGGCATCGGGATCCAATCTGTAGCTAACACCACAGCAATGCTGGTTGGCCCAGACAAGAAACCGAGTGAACTCATCATTGCCCTGATTACCTGTCCACTGATGGACTGAAATAAACACAATCACACAAGGTCTTTCCCACGCCAGCCTCATCCTCAGAGTGTATGCAGTTACTTGGGGCATTTCTAGAACCCTGAGACATGGGGACGTCACTTCATGATGGCTGAGATCATACAAGTCCCCTCCTTTTCTCACCCTCCTCCAATGCCTTCATGTTAATCTTTCACACTTGGAAAACAAAGCCTCATGCGTCCACCTCCAAAGGCCAGCCTAGCCCATCTCTTCACTGGTGAGACAAATACCCTGCTGGCCTATTGGACCACATTGCACGACAGAGGCATTTTTGCCACATCAGCCCCAGAGCTTGACCTCTACCCATGCAAAAACCCAAACCAAATGGTATTCAGCTTTTTAAAAATATATTGCAATGCACGATCCTTTGCAACGTTTAAGATATGAGGTCTCACACAAGAGGACCGCTCCGGGCACAGCTGGAAGGTTAGAGAACAAAGCCCCTCCCAAAGCGGCCTCTTCCACGAGCTGGAGCTGGAGTGCGGCTATGGGGATATATCCAGCGAGCATGGACTCCACAGCTCCAGCCCCCAGCAGCTGCTCTGACAACACAGAAGAAAAAAATCAGCCCGGCTTCCAAGGTCTCTGTGCCCTAACTCTCAGAGGACACTCCCAGCCTGTTCAGACTGCAGGGCTCCACAGCTCGGACTCCATTGCCAAAGCACAAGAGCCCAGAGCAACAGTTTTCGATCAAAGGGACAGAGCGAAATCACCCGGGGAAGGGTTCCAAGTTCCAGTCCCTTGGACAGGGAAGCTGTGTGTTTCAAAAAAGCTACTTCAGTGATTGGGAGGGTGATCAATCCCTCACGCCCTACCTAGGGGGACCTGGGGGCCCATGGGATGAGGGAGGGCATGGTCCCCTGGCGCATGAAGATCTAGACCTCCATGACGGTCTCTCTCTCTCTCTATATATATATAGACCCAAGCAGGGTGACATCTTTTCTGTAGAGCAAGACTCTAGGAGTTTCCCCACTAAAAGCTCACAGTCCTTATAGTGAAATTCTTCCTAATGTCTACTTTAAATCCTTCTGTAAATTGAGGCTAGGACTAATCCTTCCTTTAGTGGACACAGTGAATTGGTGCTAACCGCCCCTCATAAAATATCACAAAATCTGCTTCAAATTTATTGTTCTCATCTCTGGGACAAGATTTCCTTGCACGTAGATCATTATCTAGCCCAACAGGAAAGTCCTAGATTATTTGTGTAATTACTCCTTCCTTTTTTTTTTCAGAGTGGCTACTTTTCACGTATTTTCAACAAATCTGAATTTGCCCCTTTCTCAAGGCCAGGCTCTTTGAGGAGAGGAGTCTCATGATTGATCTGTTAAGGGCCTTGTGTGTACTCAAAATTACTCGAAGAGAGGTTATCCAAAATGATCTCTATAGACTCCCAACTGAGGAATGTATGGGAGTCATTCTGCCAGGCAGCAGAACTCTGCAATTCGTCTGGAAACCTTCTCCAAACTATCTTGGAGGGTCACCGTGCAGCGTCTAGCCAACACCAGGCTTGTTGGGGATGTCATCTATCATTACATCAATGTTACACAAACTGAATTACAAAGGCTCATTCTCATTCTCTTCGAAGTCACTTTCCAGGTCAAAATAACACACAGCATGATTTGCTTAATGCAATTTCCTATCAACAGCCTAACGCCTCAATGCATTAACACTCCGAGGCATGTTCTAGTGACCCCGAACAAAAAGTAGCCTGACTGGGAATATCCTCACATTCCATGGTGCTAATCTGCCAGAACGGAGACTAACCAGAGAACAAAGGCAAGTTCACACATGAGCACCTATCTCCCTGAGAGCACCAGAGGGTTTTCTATGATAGCAACAGATTATGTAAGGTATGGCTGGTTGTGCCTTGGGAAGTGAAGCAAGCGCTCCTGCTACAATCTGCTCAGGTACGAAGAGTGGAAGAATTAGCCAGAGCTCATGGTTCAGCAGCAGCGGGTTGGGGCATCTCCATGCTTTACCCACATTGGGTTGGCTTATGAAGTTGAAGCAGGGCCACATAGAGACTAAGGAGGTATATGCTTCCAGCAGAGAAGTGAGGGAGCCCCATCCCTGCATGGTGTCCGTCACCATCTTCCTGGCTCTGCTCTCTCTCTCTCTCTCTCTCTCACACACACACACACACACACACACACACACACTACCATGCTGTTTCAAACTGGCCTGAGCCAGGTCAGCCATTCAAGACTGTTGGGCTATTTGGGGAAATTCTGGAAAACTCTGATGATTAGAGGCAAGTAGGAACTCTGTCCCCCTCCCAGTTGCATGTTACAATGAAGGTGAGCATCGGATTGAATTCCACCACCTGTACAAAGCCATCAGCAGGCTGGCTAAATGGTTATACAGTCTGCTCCTGTAAGTGCAAGTTCCTGCTCCCCACTATTTCAGATGCCCCAGTGAGCACCTCACTCTGAGACAAATACAGCAACATACTGACAGTAGGATCTGCCAACCTCTATGTTAAATCAGCACACGAAATCTGCCACTAATCAGAGGGCTGGATGCCAGACCTAAGGCACTGTCCTCCAGTTTCAAGGCTCACCAGATTCTCAGACCCCAGTCATTCAAGGGGACTGCTCACCTTTCTGGCAAACATACATGTGCATGCCACTCTTTCACTGGGGGAACTTCCTTCTAGCATCTCCTACATCTGCTAGCGAGCCCTCTGTTGCAGATTTAGGTGGCTCTGGTTGAAGGCTTGACATTCCTGCACTCGTTGCCTCTGTGGATGGACTCTTCACTGAGTCAGGCATCAACTAACTGGCCCTTGGTAGTGGACTGACACTTAGTCACAAATGCAGAAATACCGGCTGTCATGGCTCAGTATTCAAAATTAAATTATAATTAGGGGCGCCTGGGTAGCTCAGTTGGTTAAGCATCTGCCTTCGGCTCGGGTCGTGATCCCAGGGTCCCAGGATGGAGTCCCGCGTCGGGCTCCCTGCTCAGCGGGGAGTCTGCTTCTCCCTCTGCCCCTCCCCCTCTCTTTCTCTCTCTCATGCTCGCTCTCTCTCAAATAAATTCTTTAAAATAAATAAATAAATTGTAATCAGATAAGTTCAGTGGGAAGGCAGCATAACACGCATGTGTTAGACAGACTCAAGTTCCAATGTTCCAGTGTCACTGGCTCACTTTGATGAGCCGCAGTGTTTCTCAGCTACAGAAACGGGAATGAACCTGCCACCCAGTGGAATGGCCACTCTCAATATAAATATATAAATAAGCCACAATAACAGGGTCGGCAAGGACGTGGGCCAAGGGCAACCCTTGTGTGCTGTTGGTGGGAACGGTACAGCTGCCGTGGGGAACACTGTGGAGTGTCTTCAAAAAATCACACATGGAATCACGCTATGACCCAGCAATTCCACTTCTGAGTATATGCCCCCAAAGACTTGAAAGCAGGGGTTCACACAGGTATTTGTACACCCATGTTCATAGCAGCATTATTCACACTAGCCAAAAAAATCGAAGCAACCCAAGGATCCACAGACAGACAAGTGAATTAAAAAAAATGGTAGTGTGCGCACACAATGGAATGTGATTCCCGCCTTAAGAAGGAAGTTAGTTCTGACCCAGGCTACCACGTGGATGAGCCTTGAGGACATTATGCTCAGTGAAATAAGCCAGTCACGGAAGGACAAGAACTGTGTAATGCCACTCGATGAGGTACATAGAGGGGTCACATTCATAGACAGAAAGTAGAATGGTGGTGGCCAGGGGCTGGAGGGACAAGGGAATGGGGAGCTGTTGTTTAACGGGGACAGAGTTTCAGTTCTACAAGATGACTGTAGGAACCCCAGGTGTGGGGCTCGGCACGTCCCCCAGTGCTTCCCTCACCCCTGCAACCTCGCTTCACCCGGCCCTCTGGTTTGCAGACTCCAGACACCTCCTCCTAGCCTCTTCCCCAGCCCCCACAAGTCAGAAGGGATGGCTGTACCAGAGCAGGTCCTTCCATCCCCTCGGAAGCCGATGGAGCACTCGCAGGTGAACTGAACCCCGGGACCAGGGCGACAGGCCGCGTTGGTATCACAGCCGTGAGTGCCGATGTAGCAAGGATTCTGCAGGGCATCCGGGGAGCCGTCTGTGAAGGAGAGACAAGGAGGCCAAGTGAGTAATTCAGGAACGCCTGCAGGTTTCCTCCTTCCACAGAAAGTAAGGTCCAGCTGATGACCCAGAGAACGGCAGAGGGCCCCGGAACAAGAAACCAGCCGACTCCTGTGCCACCCTGGGGCAGGATCAGCAAACCACGTCCCTCCAGATCCATGCCTGTTCTTGTAAATAAAGTTTTATTGGAAACCAGCCACATCCATTCACTTGCATATAGTCTACGGCTGCTTTTGTGCCACAATGGCAGAACTGAGATCTTCAGACACCGTAGAGCTGGAAAAGCCTAGAATGTTTACTGCCGAGCCTTTTAAGAAAAAAAAAATGTATCACCCCTGATGCCTAGAGCCAGTGTTGTCAAAGGAGGAAGAAAGACACCTGCCCTCCTTCTGCTTTATGGAGCAAAGCAAGGACAAATGTGGTGAGCTGGAGAGGTGACCTGGGTATGCAGGGAGCACTAAAAAGAACTGGAAAAGAGAACTCTAGACCCTAATGCCAGACCCCAAATATACAGAGCCCATGGGGCTAGAAGATTCGGGTGATGTGGAGTCTGACACCGGGACGGCATGCTAGCTCTCCAAACACCAGCACCTTGCATGCAGCCAGAAGCACCCACAGACCAGACCTCAGCGCCAGCAATGTGCTACCACAGGACGGGGGGTGCTGTAGGCTCCGTACCTGACCTTCATCAGACTTTATTTAGATCTCCTCAGACCCTGAGCTGAGCATTCCCAAGGCTGAGCATGAGTGTTCGAAATGCGCTGCCAAAGCCAGCCATAGCCTTCGGATGGTCTGCTCTGGAAGGTACCTCAATGGGTTAGCATTCTTCACTCCACCCCACACAGAGATGTGTAAGTTTTAAGAATCAGAGATGGCAACATTATTTATCTCTGTCAGGACATACTCTAGCATCCTCTTCTTCTTACTGAGAGTAAAAGATGAAAAACAACACATGCCAGGGGCGCCTGGGTGGCTCAGTTGGTTAAGCGACTGCCTTCGGCTCAGGTCATGATCCTGGAGTCCCGGGATCGAGTCCCGCATCGGGCTCCCTGCTCGGCGGGGGGTCTGCTTCTCCCTCTGACCTTCCTCCTTCTCATGCTCTCTGTCTCTCATTCTCTCTCTCTCAAATAAATAAATAAAATCTTTAAAAAAAAAAACCACACACACACACAAAAAAGAAAAACAACACATGCCAGAGGAGACACAGATGTGCAGACAGACACACAATGCCCAATGTGAGCTGCCATTCCTACCCCTCACGGGACCGATGGAGTTGCTTAGAGCATAGCGCAGGATCTTCTCCTCCTGGTTGTACAGGACAAACACGCTGTCCACTGAAAGCTGCTGGGTGCTGGGCAGGGCCGGCTGGGAGGTGTCGTGGGCACATTCCTGGAAGGTGATGGTCTGGCGCCACTGGTAAGTGTAGATGTTGGAAGGGGCAGCGCCATCTTGCTCAGGCTCCATCACAGTGTACTCCCGCATGGAGGAGGAGGTGATCACTGGGATGTGGTGTGGGGGGAAGAAAGGAGACAAGGCAGGGCAACAAACGAGGCAAGAGGTTTAGTCAAGGGCTTTAAAACCATGGGCAGTATTCCCAGCCCAGATGAGAGATCAGATGGAACGGATTATGTAAGACCGCTTATTTCTGTGTTGGGACTCGTTGTGCTACCTAGATTTCCCACACTATTATGGTATTGTTTGCATTAGTAGTATTTACTGCTTTCTCTCATCAAGTGCTCTTTGTAAGTTCTGAAGCCACCCAGAACCAACCCAGAGATTAAGGTCCAGTGGAAAGGGCACATGCTTGAAAGCAGATACACCTGAACTGACACCACCACTCACAAGGTGTGCGTTCGCAGGCCGGTTACAACTTTTTTAGCCGCCATTTCTTTTACAGCATGGGTTGGGGTGAGAATGACATACGTGTGTAAAATTTCTGGACCCACGCAGGCTAATACTACTAAGATAAACTACCATTTATAGAGCACTGACCCTGTAACTAGCAGAGAGCTAACAGCTTTATATAGATTATCTCACTTGAGATTCAATAAATAGTGGTGGCTATGTATCACCCTAGATGAAGCAGTTCTCTGATACAAAAAAAAAAAAAATGAGACACTAAATGGGTTTCAGTAGCCAATTTCTGAAAAATTACTATAATGCCATGAGCAAACCTCAACAGAGGAGAAGAGAGACAGTCTTCCCGCTCAGGAGAGAGCTTGCTTTTCACCCATACGATGAAACTCTCAACGTCCTATTTAAAAAATAAATAAATAAAAAAGAATAAAAGGCTCTTTATATTTGTGTGCTCTGCTGTAGTTCATAACAAAAGCCAGAGGATAAATAAAAGATTAATGTAAGCTGCCTCTTGTCCAGCTCCCACGTGCTGTGCTGCCAGAAACGCCAGCTGGTCGCAGGCCGACGGCAGACTGGGATCCTGCTGCTCACTCCACCTCCGGGCCACCAACCCTCGGGGTCCCCGGAAGAGCCCAATCAAGCCACAGAGCGTGGTAATTAGTATGACCTCTCCGGATGGCGACTTAATGAGAGCCTTTAAAAAGTTCCTATTGTTTGGCTCAGCAACTCTACTTCTAGGAATTGAATCTTAGAAAAGAATCAGAAATTTGGTCAAGATTTATGATGAAGATGGTCCTTTCAACTCATTATGGGATGGGAAAATTGGAAATAACTTAAGCTTTAGAAAATAGAATGGTTTAAATTAATAGCCATATAAGACAATCGTGCAGATTCATTAAAAAGTGTTTTCAAAGCCTACTGAATGAAACTATAAAATATTCAGGATTTGAAATTAACTGGAAAATGAAGATATAATAATGGGGTATAACTGCAACTTTATTTAAATAAAAACTATACACCTGACTGTAGAGCACATAATAATATTGCATCAATGTGAAGTTTCCTGACTGTGAACGTTGCACTGTGGCCACATAAGAGAATGTTCTTGTTCTTAAGAAAAATGGGTGAATTATTTAGGGGGTGGAGGATCACAATGACTACAATTTACTTTCAAAAAAATGTATTATTTGCAAGATATATATATATATGAGAATGATAAAATAAATATGGCAAAATGTTAACAATTGGTGGAAGTGAATAAATGGCAGATGGAAATTGTGCTACTTTCAACTCTTGTGTAAGTTTGAAATTATTTAAAATAGTAAATTAAAATACGGATATATACATATATACATATGTACATATATTTACATATAGATGTAATAGCCACGCTGTACATTACAACCCTAGAACTTATAAGATCTATGTTGAAATATTATATTTATATATGTTGGGTTTTTTTTTTTTAAGATTTTTATTTTTAAGTAATCTCTACACCCAAGGTGGGGCTTGAATCCTCAAATCCACACCCCAAAATCAAGAGTCCCACGCTCCCCGCCCTCCACCAGCCAGGCGCCTCTACTGGGGTATTTTATATATAAATGGGGGAAAGGCTGAAAGGAAATAATTTAAACCTAATATTAATTATGTCCCAGTTCTACCATTATGCTTAATTTCTTCACACTAATTTTCTATTAGTGTGTACTATGACTGTAATTAGGGGAAAAGGTGATTTTAATAAGCTAGTGCCAGTCTATTTCCCGCTAGGAAGCCCAGGATGGCCCGGGCCAACAGTGGGTCGGTCTGGAGTCAGTGGGGAGCTGGGGCTGTCCCCCCAACCCTCCCACCCCACCGCTCCACCCCTCCCCCTCACCCCCGACTCCCTTACTCCCTCACCCCCCACGCGGCGCTGGCGGCTCACCCCCACGGGAGTAGTGGTAGAGCTCCGTGTAGGGCTCGATGTGCACCGAGGAGCCAAACGGGATATGGGGCACGCGGCCCTCCAGCTCCGTGTCGATGGTCAGGTGTCCGTGCTCGTCGATGCCGCTGAACTGCTGCTTGATGGTCAGCTTGCCCGGGGACCCCACGAAGGTCACCTCGGCCTGACGGGTGAACTCGCCTCCTGGAAAGCAAGGTCAGTCATTCTGCCGTCTGGGGAGCCCCCTCATGTCAGCCCTAGGCTGGGGGTGCTGCTTATGAAGGAGGCTCGCACCTCCTCCATGGGTGCTTTAGTTTGGTTGGGAGAAACGGAGCTGGTGACGCTGAGCACAGAGCCGGGACATGCACGTGGCCCAGCTGAGTCGTGCGCAGAGGAGAGAAGCTGCTTCCCTGCCCCGCACCAGCTTCTGAGATGGGGCTGGCTCAGGAATAGTGCTGGAAAAAGCAAAGGTCTAGAGTTTGACTCCCAGCTGTGCTAGGTACTGACTGAGCACGTTACCTAACCCCCCGAGCCTCCATTTCTCGATGATAAAAGACGGATACAGGCTACTTTGTGGAAACTAGATGAGATAAAGTATGTTAAAAAAGTGCTCTGTCAAATGTCAGTGATGGTGACGACTGTTGTAACAGGTTAGCGTGCTGGTCAGGATGGGTGGGTTGCTCAGGGCAAAGCACCACCGGTCCCAGAAACCACCTGGGGAGCACCCACAATGGGTGTTGGCTCAGCAGCTCCCCTTGGTCTGCACATATAATATGTGACAATTATATGAAATTTAAATTTTAGTGCCCATTAGTAAAGTTTCATTAGAACACAGCCACACTTACTCATTTACATATTATCTACGGTTGCTTTCGCTCTGCAATGACTTAACAGAGTTGAGGAATTACAACAGAGACCGTACAGACTAGAATACTGAGGCAAAGCAAAGATTTACTATCTGCCCCTTGGCAGAAAGTGTGACAACTTCTGCTTTATAGTAAGGACCCGAGTCCCAGGCAGATATCCAGGCGCTAATCCAGGTCCTGGGGCCGTTAAGGACCACTGTAGTAACAGAGATTTGCTGGGGCAGGGAATTTGCCAAGTCTCCCTCGGTCCTGCTGACCCTGACGTTGTCACATCAGATATCACCAGTTTAAATCAACCCACAGACAAAGCAACACCAATATGAAAAGCTGCGCAGGGAAGAAGTAGCGTCTGTGGGTCTGACTGCAAAGCGCAGCTGTGTCTGCAAAGGAAGGCGCACATTTGCACGAGAATATGAACCCGGTTGTAATGCTCAGGATGTATATATGTGCCTGAGGGATAGAGGGAAAAAATATTAGGCCATACATTTGATATCTTACAGGGAAGGCCACCCTTTTGCAAATATATATCCGCTCCTTTCTTAAAATGGCCACATTTCAGGAGGCTATGTATTTATGCTCTGGAACTTTTGGAGGGTTACCCTTGCAAAGCCTAGAGACCCTGCTTCATGGTGTTTCTGCAATAAAGCCGTGGCTGAGACTCAGCGAGGCAAGGCAGTGGGGAGAAAGCAGATCTAGTCAGAGGCAGCAATGGGTTCCTGTGACCCAGAACAAGCTCCAGGTCCTGCGAGTGCCCGGGGAGGAAGGACACAGTCTCTTGCACCCAGGCTGTTCCTGGAAAGGGCCTCCAGCATGCACAGGGGAGCTGGGCTCAGCAGAATGTGGGAGGGGCCATGGCCACACTATGGAAACGTTCCCCCGACCATCTGCCCACGTGTCCGCTAAAGACTGAACTGTCCCTGACAGGGCGCAGCCTCTAAGAAGCTCCAAGGAAAGTCAGGTTTTCTAAGACTTGGGAGGATTGTGTTTATCAGGCTTGATTTTCCAGCTAGAAATGACAGGATTCTTTTCTCCAAGCAGATACTGAAGCAATGTCAAATATCAAATCAGGTTGGTTGGGAATGTGGAGGCAGGCATGAGAAACAGAATGAGGGAAACTGGGACAGCCCCACACTTCAGGGGGTGAGGCTGTATGAGATGACCCCATTTGCTCTGCTGGAGACTTCTGAATCTCCACCATGAAATCACTCCCTGATGAAAATGCAATTCTAGGGCGCCTGGGTGGCTCAGTTGGTTAAGCGACTGCCTTCGGCTCAGGTCATGATCCTGGAGTCCCGGGATCGAGTCCCGCATCGGGCTCCCTGCTCGGCAGGGAGCCTGCGTCTCCCTCTGACCCTCCCCCCTCTCATGTGCTCTCTCTCTCTCTCTCATTCTGTCTCAAATAAATAAATAAAATCTTTAAAAAAAAAAAAAAAAGAAAATGCAATTCTAGATAGCCTTAATGAGCACACACTAATGAAAAATATTAGTGATGATTTTACCTCAACATCTTTCGGGAGCCACAAAATGCCCATCAGTAAGTTGCCTGCAGATGTCGAGTTCCCTTTCCATTCACCCCCAGGTTCCCCAGGCACCACTAATTGTAGTATCTGAGGTGAATTACCTGTGATGCTGAACCCATTCTTGAACCCATCCTGTTCCACCGCAAACATCCATCCAATGATGCCTCCGACAGGGGCCAGAGGAAGCAGAGAATAGCCAACGGTCTCTGGAATGGTGCTGATGGCTGTGTAGGAGCGTCCGTGGTTCATCACCACATAAGAGTGGAGGTCGGTGTTCTCAAAGACGACGGGGACGGGGCTGTTCCCCACAAAGATCGTTCCTTTCACCTTGCCATTAACTCGCTGGGGGGAACCTGAGCAAGAAACAAAAGAAGCCAGCTTCTTCAAAAAGAATAACATGCCTGGGAGGATCTGTACCTATAAAGCAAAGAGGCAGAACAGCATTGGGGTAAAGGGCTTTGGGTTAAGTCAAAGCAGTTGTTCTCAAGAGGACAATACCCACGACTGTCTGTGAGCCTTAGAAATTCCAACGTCCTGCTTCTCTCCCATGCTGACCGATAACAGCACGGAAGTAGCTCCAACGCGAGCCACTGTGTGATAGAGGAAATTCAGGGACAAATAAAATAATCTCAGGAGAAGAACAGTGTCATGGGTGATCTAGAACTAGGTGGTCCTATCACTGATCACTTTTGAGTGTATAAGGGACAGAATTAGGAATTTCGCTGGGACAGGGGGCCAAAATGGATGGTCCTTGGGGATCTGGGCCACTTGGCAGCCTGATCTATCACACATCTTCATACGCAGCTCTGGCTCAAATATGGTTCTCTCACTGAGGGTGAGGACGGTCAGTCTGGGTCCTGGAGCTTCATTCGGCCCAAGCTGCAACAGACATGAGCACTGCTGGTATCACTCGGCACACAAACATGGCCAACGGCCCAGGACTGGCTCGCATAGACGGGGGTGTGTTCGTGGTTGATTGTTCCATTCAGACAACTGGGAAAGATGCGAAACCTACTATGGAAATTTAAAAGCTTTCTCCATAAATTACCGAATAATATATAGAGAATACTATTTTTGTTTTAAAAACACATTAATAATAAATGTTAGCGTGTACCTTGGGGAAAATACCAGAAGAGATATACCCAAAAACTGCTAACAGGGGTTAACTCAGGGCAATACAGTAAACTTTCATTTTCTATAATATATGCCTCTATGTTTTGTGAATATCTATAGCTTACATATATTCCTGTTTAATCAGGAAAATGTAAGATCTAAAGAAATGAAGTCATTCTTGTATTCAAATAAGAAAACTGAAGGTTACCATATGACCCAGAAATTCCAACTCCTAGGTATATTCCCAAGAGAACAGGAAACCTAGGTCCACACAAAAACTTGTACACAAATGTTCTTAGTAGCATTATTCATCATGGCCAGAATGTCCATCGCTTGGTATAACCACGCAATGGAACATGTAGCTAGAAAAAAGGACGAAGTACTGACACGTGCCAAAATGCGGATGGACCTTGAAAACACCATGCTAAGTGAAAGAAGTCAGACACAGATGGTCACATATCTTATGATTCCATGGAATGAAATGGAAATATTTCAGAAGAGGACAACCCTCAGTGAGAGGAAGTAGATCAGTTGTGGACAGGGGCAGGGGCCTGGGGAACTGAGAATGACTGCTAGCGGATACAGTGTTTCTTTCTGGACTGATAAAAATGTTCTACAACCAGATAGAGGTGACAGTTGCACAACTCAGTGAAGAGGCTAAAACCCACCAAACTCTGAGCTTTAAACAAGGGTGTTAATTATATCTTTAAGAAAACTGAAGGAAGAGGTAAATAAGTCACCTTGGACTGTTCAGGTTTGATGCAGAATTAAACTTGATCAGCTATCGATTGCACATACATTGGTTCTCTTCCTAGATTACCAGGGACAGGACGTTCATACCCAGCTCCTTCCCTTGGGACTCGGCAGAGTTTTCCGCACACAGTAAGTTCCCAGGAAAGTCTGTTGAATAACACTGGACAGACGGGCTCGCACCTGAGCATCATCGCCCATGTTCAGAAGACCTTTTGCTGTGTTCAGTATGCCCAAGCCATTAAGTAGGGTCACTGACAAGCCAAGGCACACTCGACACACACAGTATTTCTGCACACAAATTGTGTCATTACACAGGGGAGTGCTATGAAGTTGGAAGACTAATATCGAAAAAATTCATCCCCCAAACAATTGCAGAAACAAGCAGGAAAGCCAAGCGAAGGAAACCAAACAAATTTTTTCCACCAAACCTTGAGCCAGAAAAATGTTTCAAAAGTAGCAAGAATCCAACAAATATTTAAACCACAGAACTTTCATGGGGCGTGTATATAATGTCAAAATATGCAGCTGAACAGTTTGTTATAGCTGAGTTTGCCACCAAACACAAACTGCGCAGCATTTCCAGCTCTGATATTTGGCATGGAAAGAGCTAAGGAGATTGCTCTTTGAGAATGAGCTTTCATTGTAGATTCTGGAAGCTTCTCTCAGGGTGAGAGAAGTATAAAAGCCAAGCCTAAAACAAAGAAGCAAAGGCACATCATACCTGGGGTAGTGGGATTTAAAAGAAAACAGAACCCATCTACAGAAGTTCAAAACATCCCCCCAAATTAACATGAAAAGTATACGTAATTTTCTTTCATTGCTTCAGATGGTATTTAGCAAAACTCACTTTATCTCATTGTGACCCAGAAGGAAACTTTTTTTTACCAAATTAAAATAACTGATTTAACTCCAGCTATGGCTGGGGATGTGAAAAACAGAAACCATTCCTCCAACTGAGTTTTATTTAGTCAAATTTTGCAAAGCAGTTGAGGTTCCTTATTCAACACGAGGCAAATGACCAGTGATCACTGTGGCAAGTGAGGTGACTTGGCGTCTGAAGGGACAAAGGTTCAGGATGGTAGAGTTTTTTGTGGCTTTTGTTTTAATCTTAGTTTATGGCCCCAGGCTCCCAGAGGTCTCACTCTCTGAGTAAACCATTATCCCGACCCTCTAGACTCTTGCCGAGATTCTCCTGCTCACCCGAGAGCATCAGGACTAGTTGGTCCTCTTGGGGCCAAAGCTAGGAACAGCTGTGGACCCACAGCTGAATCCATTCTGGAGTCAGCCCCATAATGGGTTTGGTGCTCCAGAATTAACTGGTGCACCCCTTATGCTCCACCATCATCATGCTGTGATTTCAGGGGCATGAAGAAAGGATATAGCCTGAGGGGAAGGGTGATTGGAATACACTTTTCCCCACTACAAACTTTGGTCCACGCCTGCCCACTGTGGCCCCTCTGGGGCTTAACAACCATTAGGACACTCAGGTCTGTGAGCAATGCCACGGAGGAGGTTGGAATGAAACGGAGGAAAACGAGAGGCATTAATCATGCCTGGTCCAGGCTGCATTATTTCAACACTTCAGCCTTTGTCCCACCCTAAGCAGTTGTGAAGATGGGCTCCCATGGGCAGTCATTTCCCAGATGGAGAAAAATATTGCATAGGAAAGAAAGAGACCTCACCATATTACAAAAGTGGGCATTCCCTGAGACACGCCCTTTAGAGAAGGATGAGAAAGAATGGGAATGAGAGATTAAGTATCATTCAAAATCTAATATCTACTAAAAACACTACCCACCTTTAGAGATCTGGGCAAAGGCCAACATTTCAAAACAAACCCCAAAACAAAGACTCTACTCCCTCCTTCTCCCCGCACAAATGGAACACATAAAAGCCAAATACCTTCTTTTCTTTTCTGAGAGAGCGAGCGAGCAGAGAGAGAAGGAGAGAGAGAATCCCAAGCAGGTTCCACACCCAGCACAGAACCCGACGCCGGGCTCGATCTAATAACCCCGAGACCGTGACCTGAGCTGAAACCAAGAGCTGGGCTGTTAACTGACTGAGCCCCCCAGGTGCCCCCAAAGCCGAATACCTTCCGCAACACACTGCCGGCCGTTCCCCGTATAACCAGCCACACAGCTGCAGCAGAACCCCGTGGCGAAGTCCCTGCATTCAGCATGCACGGAGCACTGGTGTCTGTTGTTGGCGCAGGTCTGGCGGGAATCCGTGTTGTAGCTGAACACTGTTCGGGGAAAACACAGCACACTGGTAAGCGCTTTGCACTGCAGTGGACCAGGCTTCGTTATTCTGTGCGCCCTCAAGCCTTGCAGGAATTCCCACCTGCGCGGGGGATTCTGGGACAGAGCTCACAGCCCATAGCAACCCAAGTCCTGTCTTGGCTCCTATACGCCAACCACCAAGGCAAATAGGTCTAAAAGGAGTCTGAGACATCACAAGGGAGTTATTTAAAAATACGCTAATTCAAGGTACTGGATCACTGAATCCATATAATCACTGTATCAATACTAGGTTACTGCCACCCAATATCCATCTTAAGATGGTGTCCATGTAATGTGGTCAGATTAGCTTCCCATTTTCGGACAGACTTAATTTTTTTTTTTTTACTTTTATTGTGGCAAAAAAAAAATCATATATATATATAAATAAAATTTGTCATTTTAATGACCTGAAAATATTTTAAAACTTTCCCCTTCCTCCCCAGGAGAAAACTCAGAAGCTCTTATACTCAGAAGCTGATTAGAAATAATTCCTTCGTCATACTTGGTCTAAAGGTCTTTAACCCAAGAAACAAAATGAATTTCTATTTCAAATTCCTACCTCCCAGCTTCATTTTGTTAGAATTATGAACTAGCTCGTCAAATTTAATAATCCAGAGCAAATTAATTTGGAATGAAGTTCAAAAGCACAAGGCGGGGCGCAGGCTTTTAGAGAGGATAATGATCCAATTTATAATTGAGTGTTAGGGAAGATAAAAGTAAAGTTTAACCTCAGGTGGATGTGATTAGTCTACATACTCAGAAGGGAATTTCCAGTGTGTATAAAGGTGGCATTTGGCGCTGGGAACACTTGGGCCCTGAGCTGAGCACATAAGACGTGACTGATGGCTTCAGCTCCAGCTGTGGGTCCAGCTCCCTGTGGGGTCCCTTATGGCCTACGTATCTGTGGGTGACTTCAAATAACACCAGGAATGTATTGCTGCCTACAGAAAACTGACCTTTCTAATATAAAAACAGTGAAATAAAACTATGGGACAGAGGGACAGAAAAACATGTGTTTTAGACACATTTGGAGTTCAAATCTAGGTTTTATCAGGACCAAGTACTATACCACCCTAAGTTGTTGGTGCTAGCTATGATCTCATTTCGAAGTGATGGCCTCACAGATGAGAATTCCACAGACACCTAGACAGGGGAGAAGCAGAATAAGACTCCAGACTCAACATCTGTGAGTAAACATACCCCATATGTCTGGGGGAGATTAGAGCAGAGTGCCGTGTGCTGAGAGCTGTTAGCATTGCCCCAGGAAATCCAGGGTGCGGAGGGGAGCCCTCAGACCTGAACCCATATCCTCCTCATATCATAAAGGGTAACTTCTCCATGTCTGTGCCTTAGAAGTAAGCAAGCACACTTCCCCTGGCCACCAGATCTTGTGCATGCTTTGGGATACTCAAAAAAGAACAAACATTTAAAACGACTGCTATGAAACAAATCAGAAGAAGTAAGGAGAAATAAAAATTGAGTGACTCATGTGGAATGGAGTCAGTTTTTCTGGGGGCCTTATAACTTCATAGTAGAAGCAGGAAGGACTCACGGTGAACATCATTTAGGGCCTTGGACCATCTCATTTATGTGAATGTTGGCAGATTATATGTCAACCTGAAATTGAATCAGTTCTTCCGTTTAGTTGGAACATCTTTTATAAGACAAATCAAAGCATGCTGGTGCTCAAATGGTTTTTCCCTCAAAACGTAGCAAAAATCCAACAGAATACGGTTGACTAGAAAAGATTGTATTTTAAAACTGGGGGATCTACTTGTTTTGCATTTTTAAATCTTCACAAACCATCTCTGAAGCTGACAGGACCTGGGAGGAAAAAATAATCAACCATCCTCATTCCAAAACCAAGAGGAAATAAACGTCAAAGATAAACAGCGGTAAATAGCCAAAGAAACTTCTAAAATGTTTTTTCAGGTGGGTGAATATATTTCTGATCCCAGAAGTCACAAATAAGAAAATCTGACTTTCAAAATAATTCCAAAGCACTTTTCTCTTGAAAACAGACAAAAAGGGAGTCAGAGGAAACTTGAAAGAGCGCCCGCTCAGCAGTCCTCCCGTAACCGCAGGCCTATAATCCCCAAAGATCCCTTGGAGTCTTTGAAGCCAACAGGCCCATCCAGCGAAGCCCTACAGCTGCGAGGGCCGCCCCTACATTCCCAGCTCTCATCCTTCCAAACGTCCATATAGGGCACACAACTGACCCCCTCCAGCAGGACTCCTGTCTGGAAACCCAAGTGTCCCAGGACAGACCAGCCATGATGTAAATGGCCTTACCCACTCCTGTCTCCTCAACTTCGTCCACGTCTATGACCTGCGCGTGCTGTTGGGGAAATGTCTCTGCTGGCGGCTGGAAAGACCTGGTCCTCTCCGTGGGAAGTCCGGGGAGTCTCTCAGTAGGCAGGCGGCGGGGGGAGAGGACACGGGGCACGCTGTGTGTGCCCGGGTCTCCCCTCCTCCGAGCCTCATAGGAGAAAGGTGTCGTGCTCACATCCTCCAGGCCCAGATGTGTCACCGACTTGTAGTCTTCATCATCATACTCTGCTCCATCGTCCAGTCCGAGGCTCACGTCGGAGGGCACCACACCACTGGCCGTGGCCGGGCTCCCTATCTCAAACACCCAGACGCCCTGCTGCCCCGAGTTGCTGCTCCTGGAAAAAGGACAGGCTTCTTAGAAACAGCCAGCAACCCACAAACCGCCCCCACTAACCGAGCAGAAGGAGCCCTGGGGATCTGTGTGTCAGCCTGAAACCCCCTGCCTACTTTGTTGGTCTCTGGTTCTGGTAGATGGCTCCGAAAATCCTCGTAATCTCTGCCATGATAAGACTGTCTCTTGTATGTTAATGGGAAGAATGGTGGCTGGGACCCCAGGGAGCTTCAGGATGAGGGCTGGACGGCAGAAAGACCTGGGCATGATTAGAGGGTTGGAACTTCCAGCCCCATGCCCTGACTTCCAGAAAGGGGAGAGGGGTTGGAGACTGAGTTAATCACCAAGGGCCAAGAAGTTCTTCAATCATGCTTATGTAATAAAAACCCCCAAACAATGAGGCTGGGAGAGCTTTGGGGATGGTGAGCCGGCATGGAAGCTTCAAGCCCCCTCTCCCTTCGACACCATGCATTCCTTCTATTTGTTCTTGAGTTGTAGCCTTTAAAATAGACTGGTGATGATAAGAAAAGTGCTTTCCTGAGTTCTGTGAGCCATGTCAGCGAAATTATGGAAACTGAGCGGGGCGGGGGGTCCCAGAAACCCCCAATTTATAGCTGGTGGACCAGAGTTGCAGTAAGTACAGTACCTGGAACTTAGGGCTGGCCTCTGAAGTGAGGGCAGTCTTGTGGGGTCTGTGCTCACCCTGGGCTGTCCACACCAGGACCCAACTGAATTGTAGGACACCGAAGGGATGTCGAGAGAGTGAGAGAGTCGGTAGGCAGAAGGGAAAAAAATCCCACCTATGTGGTGTCAGAGGTGTTGCGAGTGAAAACAGTGCAGACTTAGATTATCAGAAATGCCAACTCCATCAGCTATGGAATCTTGGACAGGTCTCAGTTTACCTTTTCCTGTCCCAAGGGTATAGTGGAATGCAAAGGAGAGATTCAGACTCTAAAGGCCTCGTGTAACTAAAAAACACAGTCAAATGACCCTGATTTCTCCTTCCTTCTCCACCATGTTTAATGTGCTTCTGCATCTGTGATTGGAAGCGCTCCTATCAGAAACTATGTAAAATGATCAGCTTTTACACGGGGAAGAAGAAACAGACTTTACCCAGTGGAGAATCCTGAGCAAAACATCAGGGGTGGGACAGGGGGTGAGGAATCAAGAAAGCCCTGCAGAAGGAGGATGTGTACTCAGTCTGTCCATCCCAGGACTCCAGGGAAGGCAGAGGTGTGCAGGGGCTTACTAGCACCAGCTCATGAGGGCCAGATGTTGAATTTTAGTAATTTTGCAAGCCAGTTATTAAACAGAGCCACTGTAAAAAATTATATCACATAAACTTACAATTACATAAATGGTATTAAAAACAAAGGCCATAAATACTTGAAACTCATCACGCTGAATTATTTTACTATTATCTATGTTCTGGAAGTGATTTAAGTCTACTGCATCTGTATGGTGTGAAGAATGGTTCTCTTCTCAATTCCGTATTGAGCAACATGACATGCGTAGCTGGAACATGGCCACAAAAGGAGTATTCACACCACGGAAACAGGCAAGCACGATAAATGAGGGTTATCAACTGAGTTTTAGACTCAATTGGACAATCTGAAATTGGGAGGGAGGGTGTTCTTTCTTCACTTTTTAAGGCATAATGGGAGAGGAACGATTCTACTTTTAGAAAAAAGTAGAATTCCCCGCTTTTGCCAAATTCTACAAAATAGCCCAAGAGAGCACTAATTTTGTTGCAAGAATTTCTTCCCTAGTCCACGTGGGGGGAGAAGGTTTTTCTCAGCCTTGGGTTTTTAGCAGGAGATAGGGTTTGAATAGCGTTTATTTCTAACTGTATACTTGCAGAGGACATTGGAGAAACTGTTTCAAATGAGCATGATATCTAAAAACAGGATGCCTTTTCATTCTAAGAGTGTATTACTTTGAGTTCATCAGGAAAAAAGCACTACATAATATAAAAAAACCATATATGAAATTTAAATCTGCGGGAACATTTTTAGGTAATGTTCTCTAGTGCCCATTATATTATCCTTTATAAAATAATAAAATGATCATCTTAATGATAAAATCATCATTAAGGGGAGAATCTACTGAAGAACAAAGAAAGCATACTTGGCCAAATTTCCAATTGATTCTCTGTCGTTAGCAAATATATTATAAGCTCCTTCGCTCTTCCAGAATAATCCCTGTACACCTTGACTGAATGCAACCACAGCGGGAACTTGGTTCTCGTCCTTCTTTGAGAATGTTGTATAGAACTGCAGACCGTCTTCAGGATAGAGGAAAATGGCAAAGGAGCTGGAATCAGAGGAGGCCAGAACAGCCTGGAATGTGTTTCTCTGTGAAGATGAGTTGAGATTCAGTTACTCAGGAATATGTCGATAGATCTTACATTGTTGTATTCACCAGACTATACAGAGAAAGCCCAGAGGTGGCAGTATTCGCCCCTTATTCTAAAAGAGTAGCAAGAACCAAGTACTCCAGGATGGCTCCACTTAAGTATCTCTAAGACTTTGTCAACATGAAATTTTCCAATTAATTAATGAATCACCTTCTGCATGAAGGGTAACCAAAAATTATAGAGATGGTACCTCTGGACAGTGGCCTAAATCTCATGCCACTTAGCAAATTCTTACCCTTAGAATTTGTTTCCCGGCCATTAAACATATTAACCACACTCATCATTTGTCATACATTTACTGAGCCCAAGCAACATACAATAAGAAAAAAAAAACAAAACAAAACATGAGCTTTGGGAGAAAACAGATCTGAATCCAGATCTTTGCTCTCCTCATCATGGGTTGTGTGACCTTGGGCATGTTACTTAAATTCCTTAAGCGTGGATTTCTGAATCTGCCAGATGGAGAGAAAACCACGTACTTCACAGAAATGTTGAGAGACCTATGTGAAATAGGCAGAGCCAGGCACAGAGAAAGTATTCCTTCAACGTTGGTACCTTTCCTATAAATACATGGTCCCCACGCTCGAGAATTTCTGGTCTAGATGGGAAAACTGACATGTAAAGAAAACACTGCAAAACGGGGGGATAGAGTGTATCATGGAGTCATGTGTGAGCACGATAGAAGCCACAGAAAGAAGTGCCCGAAGCTGGGAGGGTGGGAGCAGAGGAGGCTGTGCGAGTCTAGAGGATCAAGTACAGGTTCGACACCACTAGCAGGGGTCAGGGAGAAGACGATGCAAGCAGAGAGGACAGCAAATGCAAGGTGTGTGGGGGGGGAGGGTTCATGATCAGAGAATTGTAAACAGTTTGATACAGCTGTGGCAAAGGGTGAGCGGAGATTAGGCCCAAGACAGGGCAAGGGCTCTGTACAAGGGGCTGGGCGTTCATCACTCAAGTGGTAGTGCACAAACTTGAGAAATGTAAGGTTTTAAGCAGTTTTCAAGTAGAGTCCTCTGACAGATACAAAAAGCAAAATGTTTCCTGCAGGCCAATAACAGGCTTTCCCAAAGGGTGTTCTGCGGGATATAATGTATCTTGTTTGGGAGGGAAAAAAGAGTATGGCCGAAAGGTTTGGGGACTGCTAAGTTTTCTTTAAAAATTAAGCAGGTTTCGGGCGCCTGGGTGGCTCAGTCGGTTAAGCGACTGCCTTCGGCTCAGGTCATGAACCTGGAGTCCCTGGATCGAGTCCCGCATCGGGCTCCCGGCTCGGCAGGGAGTCTGCTTCTCCCTCTGACCCTAACCCCTCTCATGTGCTCTCTCTCATTCTCTCTCTCTCAAATAAATAAATAAAATCTTTAAAAAAAAAAAATTAAGCAGGTTTCTTTATTGCAGGGTTTTTCAGAGTGAGTCACCAAGGGGGAGATAAAGTTTTGCATTTCCCAAACTTACCTGACCAGGGGAGGCCTTTTTCTCAAGGACTATGTTGTAGGACTGGTGTTCTGTGGTACCCACTTTGGGAACTACCAACCTGGAACATCCCCTGTTTAATTGGAGTGCTTTTGGCCCTTTCCAGTTTCTCTCTACTCTGCAATACTATAAAAATTAAATGGTGGAGCAAAATTATTTTTTTCTAAGGAGAAACAGAGGCATGTCCCAAAAAGTAACTTTAGACCTAGAGATGGCTTCTTGACCTACCCAAGTGTCTCCCTTCCTTCAAGCAAGACCAAAGTGCACAAAACCAACCTGTTGACTATTTTCCCTTGTACCTGGGAGAGCACTTACCTTGCCTTCCTGGTCAGGGTCCTTGCTGGGCCCCTGGTAGGGGGCCACGGATTCCCAAGTGACAACCACTGCGCTACTCGGCTGGAAAGAGACTTCTGGGAACCCTCTCCGGACACACTCTCCGGCTAGCTGAGTGATGGAGGGGGATAAGTCTTCGCGATAATAAACCTTCCCAAGGCCATCTGTCGTGTCCAAGTCCGCCAGAAAAGGTGCAACGACTCCGAAGGTCGGGGGGAAGTATCCCGGGTGGGATTCTTTGGCTGGGGGCTCACTCATGGCAATCATACCATTTGTGGTGACCTGTACAAAACAAAGCAGAGTTAGGAGGAGAGGGGGAAAAACGTCCTCCTCAGGGACTCTGAGTTTCCATGCACAGAATGCTGTGACAGGTACCCCCTGTCTGTCAACTACAACAGAACCGGAGAAGGACATGATCCTGAATTTTAAAATTCAGCACTCCTCTCCTAGGCAGGATGGCCTGGTGGAGGGAGCAAGGATCACAGGACCTGACTCTGGCACATACCCATCCCTGGACCTTGGATACGTGTCTTGAACTTCGAGTCTTGGGCTTCCCATGTGTGCGTGCTTTGCATCCTGCAAAGCACCACTCAAACGTAAGCCATTATTAAAGCCTTCACTAATTTAGCCAACACGCTGAGTAATCGTTATATACCAGGGCTGTGCTAAGTGCTTTGGGTCCCAAAATGGGTAGTACACAGTCTCTCCCTTCAAGGAACCCACAATCCAGAAGGATATGGGGAAGGACTGACACACACAAATGATGATACAATGAGTAAAAGGTCAAGAAGTCACTTTGGGGACCCTGGCTGTCTCAGTCAGTAGAGCATGGGACTCTTGATCTTGGGGTCATGAGTTCAAGCCCCACTTTGGGCGTAGATCTTACTTAAAAAAAATAGTAAGTAAGTAAAATAAATTAAAAGTGCATCTCTTTTAAAAAAGAAGTAAATCTGAATGGGGGCATTATGATATCATTAATTATTGTGAATAGTTTAATGTGTCAGAATAATAGCTAACACCGTGTTCCAGGCCTCTTATTAACATTTAATCCTCAGAAGAACTCCATAAGACAGATACTACTATTATCCACATTTTTCTGATGGAGGAAGTAAGATAAGTTAAATTTGTCCAAAGTTACCAGTAAATGTCAGCAACCAATCCCTGGATTCAAACTCAGGGAGCTGGACTCCAAAGTTGGCCCTCTTAATCACTATGCACAGCTTTCTTGAAATCAGTTCTAACTGCCTATAAAAAGAGACTGATGTTCTTATCCAGCTAACCCCCACACTGCTTGGGAAAAAGGGAAGGGGACAAAGAGCCCCTTGATGTTGGAGGGTACTCGGTGGTGGGGGTACCTGGGTCTCCTGCAAAGCCATGCTAAGAATGAGACTTTGACTGCCCCCTTCTTGTTAGTGCACAATCCACTGATGACATAGAACACCACTTTAGTGCTCTTTTTACTTGGAGAATCTGTGAATTAAAAAAAAAAAAATATGCCCTAATCAAATGGGAGAGACTTTGCAAATGGACCCTTAGTCTGCACTTTTAAGAGGCGATGCATCGGAAGAACATGAATGCAAAAAAGGGACTCTTTCCTGTTCAGAAGTTGATTGGAAGGCCTGTGGGTTTTCCAAGTCCCTTATTTCCCTCCCTCCTCCTCCCACACAGCCTTCTCCTCCACTCCCTTCAGACCTCATTACTAGAGGAGGGGGTTGGCCGGACACAAAGAAGAGGAACTTAAAAGCAAACCCTGTAACAGGCCAAGAACTGGGTGAAAAGGTTCAAAGGGGTGGAGTGCATCTGGGCCCAGGGACAGGAAAGGAACGAGAGTTCTGGGAGTTACGTGTGGACTTAGCAAAAACCCTCCACTTTTTACCAGTCTTCCTGGGTAGTTAACTGTTTAGGGGCATAAATAATTTCCAGCACCACCTGGCGCCAGGGGTGATTTTGTGGAGCTTGCCGGCAGGCTGCGGAGAAGGGAGTCAGGGAAAGAGCTTGGCCAGCTCGTTACTCACCCTCTCTTCCCTCCAGCCCAGTCACACATCTCCCCGCATGGACATCCCAGTGGGGCTGACGTGTGGGGGCGTGGGAAACAGCTCATTTTCCCAAGCCACCAGAAGCTGGCAGTTATCAGCCGCTGGGGGGAAGTGATCACACGGAGGCCACATGTGGAAAAGTCAGTTTTAAAAAGCTGTTTTCCAGTGAGATTTAAGTCAGTCCAACAGTTCTGAAAAACTCCCGGTGTCTTTTAGTATTTAGAATCTGAGCACAGGACTGTGTCTCTTATCACAAGGAATGTGTTGGGAATCGAGTTTTTAGACAAGTATCAAGAAGCACTGCAAATGCTTTGGACACAGACCATATAACCCTCATTAGTATCAGTACTGGAAAATTATTTTTGAGCCCTTTTTTATGGCACATGCAACTCAGCTGTTGGTGATAATGAAAAATGACATCAGAGATAGATGTCATAGAGAGAACATCCAAAAGTTTCATTTGACTCTTAGCTGTAAACTTCTCCCCCGTCAGTGTTTGCCTGTTTGAGATATACCAATTCATGGCTAACTTGAACAATATTCTCTTACATTTGGGTGCCAGTCCCACTGCACAAATCAGTCAAGCATGGGATGCTCCCACCGTCTTGTTCCTTTCCTCCATCTTCTTAGAGTTGAGCAAGCCAATGGAAGCACAGGGAGCACAAAGGGAAGGACCTATAAAGTACTTAGGAGGCCAGGAGGATGGACTCAGGTACTATAACCTCCAAGGGGACCAGAGTGGGGACCACTGAAAGATTCATGCTATTGGCACCAGTTGCTTAAGCCAGGAAACTGGGGAGTTAGCCTTGATTCCTTCCCCTTTCTCACTCCATGTGCCGTGTGTCCCACCTCTGAGGTCCCTGGCACTCTCTCCATCCCAACGACCAGCAGCACCCTCTCCGCCACCTCACGCATTCACGTGACTGGCTCGCTCTCACCTCCAGGCTCAGTGAAGTACAGCCTCTAAGAGAGCCTACTTCTCCTCACCCCTCCTTCTCCCTTCTCTCACTCCCGGACCCCCCATTTCTGTCCCCGCTTCCTGTTTGTTTCCTTGCAAGTGCAGACCACAAAGTGGAATGACTTTACTGACTCATCTGCTGGCTCTCGCTACTTTCCCCACGAGGCAGTCTGTCCCTTCAAAAGCTGGGACCATGTCCACCTTGGTCACGGCTGTAGCTGCAAAGCTTATACACTGCGTGGCGTGTGTTAGTCCTCTCCTTTCCTGACTTCCTCCAGAAAACGGGGTGGGAAGGTTCAGACAGAATAAGGCCTGAATACCACAGTTGTTTTAGAAATAGTGCCTGAAGCTGTGTCACTTCCGTTGATGAGCCTCCTGAAGGATCACCGCATTATGTGTTACGGTGGTCCAATTACTGAAACAAAGAGTCAGCGTAAATATGAACTGATGACCCGAACCCAAGCAAGTCTCCAGATCTAACTACCAGTTTACAGGAAATACAGGGGACAGAAGAACATGTTCAGTGATACTATAGGGTCATGATCAGCCAAATCCAGAACATGGGACACTGTGAAGGACAAATACCCAGTTTCTTTAATAAATATATTTCAAGAAAAAAAGGTGGTGAGGGGACCTATAGATTTAAGAAGTCCTAAGAAACCTATCTGCCAGATCTGAGTCCAGGGTCAGACTGGATCCAATTTAAGCTGGACTGGGTCCAGCATGAGGCCTTGGGTGAATAAAATTTTGTTTTAAGGCTGAACAAACAGGTTAACCCAGCAAAGATAATCTTGAAATACAGTGGCCACAGTGGAGACCTTTTAACCTAGATAAGCTTATCCATTTATGAGGTATCCTAGAGAAAAAGGGGTCTCAGCCAAACACTCAACACAAAAAGTAGAGGGAAAATTATTTTTCCTGTTCTATTGCTTCTGGTGACCAGGATATGACCTGCTGGGACACCCCGCTCACTCCAGAGCATGCAGATGGGATCCTGGGAAAACTGGCAAAAGCCGGCAAAGGGTGAGAATTCTTGCCAAAGCCAGCTCTCCCAGATCTCTATCTGCAGAGCCTGGTTGAGAGAGGAAGGTCAAATTTCATGTTGTCCTTTCCTTTCCAAATTCAGATTGGCAGGCAAAAACATTTGTAGCAATAGGTCTTTGAATTGTGACTTGCGAATTTACTTTTGAGTACCCCTTGGTTGTTGAACCTTTCTCTTCTGGAGGTAGCTACTGCCTTCTTATTTATCTGGTTTTGTGTCAGGTTGGGGTCCCCCAAAATCTGGCCAGACAGAGATGTGTGTTGCAGCTAGGGTCCTATCAACTATAGCCAGCTCTCGGGAGAATTGTCTAAGTCCTTCTTTCTTTTCGTTATCTTTGGGAGTGGCTAGGGGAGTTCTCTTGGGCAGGTAGTATTTTTTGCACCCTCTTTGGGGATGCCTCTTGCATCCGAGGGGTTGTACAATAATGCCAGGAATATTAACTGTTTCTGTCATCTGAAACCTGACAAGATATTTGAAAGGATTTTTTAAAGTAGCTCTATGCTCAGAAGTTGGCCAAATTAGAAGCTGATATTCAGAGATGATAGGAATATGATTTTAGGCCTTCTCACCTAAGCTAAAATGAAACTATGTACCCAGAGGAAAAGAAAAACATTCTGAAGTCTTTTGTGGAAGGATTTACTAAAATATACCAAAGACACAGCACCTCTAATTCTAGAACACAAGAATCTTTTGATTTTCATCTTGGTAGAAGACCTTCCCCCTGATATAAAGAAGCAAACTGAAGATAATGTATTTAGATGGGAGGTTCAGCTCCTTGATATCATTAAGGCTACATCCCAATTGTTTGCGGAATTAAGAGCAACTGTCCTTATCTTACAAATCTTTGTAAAACCAGAAATACAGCTCTAGAAACAATCCAAAGTCTACCTAACATTACCATGCCCCAAAACTCCCTATTCATCTCAGAATGCCTGCAGTATTGTAAAAGATCAGAACTTTGGAAACAGAACTCTCCTGCTTTGAAGAGAACGAAGGAAAAATTTAAATTGCAATAGACTTCTGATAATAGACAAATACACCCTAAAACTCCTAGAAGAAAACTTGCATTCCTTCTCTGTCCCTAGAAGATATACCTTTTACCATGTCCTTGAAATATAAACACCCCAGGAGGTAAATAAAACACAGCTCACATTCACCTGAGACTGAAGGAAAAAAGATGGGGGAGGAGGAGGCTTTTTCAAAATATAAAAGCTCAAAATCTAGTCCACAAATCTAGTCCACAGCC